GACGGACCTTCCATCGCCCACCCCCACCCTGCACGTACCTGAGTTTGGTAGGCAGGATACGCCGCTCCGTAAACCTGGGAGTTCCAGTCGCCTGAAGGGCCTTCTCCCACCTCCAAAAAGAGAGAGGTGCACTGGGGTTAGAGACCCCGCATTCAGGGAGGGGGCGGTGGGGAGGGTCTCTGCGGCTGGGGTTCTTTTGGCTGCCACGATATCCCCTACTGAGATTTAGGCTCCGACCAAGCATCGGGCAGCGGGAGCCCAGCCGGTCCAGAGGCGCCCCCGTGGGCAAGAGCGCAGTCCGAGGCCACGGGGGAGATCGGGGAATCGGGCAGTAATGGTGGCGATGACGGGCAGCGTTGGCCCGGGTCGCCCGAAATTGATACGGGGGTCAGGAACTGGAAATTTCGAGAGCTCGGGGGCGGGAAAAAGGTGCGGGGCAGAACAAACCCCAAGCGGCACGGGCCGAGCGGCCTGAGCTGGTGTGTCCACCCGCTGGCGGCTGGAAACGAAACTTCCTTTCACATAAACGTTGTCTTGCCTCCACAATATGTACTTGCCAGCCCCCACTTAACGCACAATCGTGATTTTAAAAAAAACCTAAGATACGAAATCGATTGATCCAAATTCTGTAATTGCTTTTCTTCAGTGCAAGAGGAAAGCTGGCTGATACTTGAAAGCGAATTTTATTGGGGCGTCCCAACTGGTCTACGGCGCTATCTTAAAACAATTTGAGGAGCGGCGCAGATTGATGGGGGCAGGACAGGGGTGCTGTTGAGATTTAATTCCGATTCAGGCGCTACTACCACAGACTGGACGGCTCTTTGCCCTCCCCACTTACAGGTGAGAGCAGCCAGCTCCTCCCCGGGTTTCTGGTGGAACTTTATTTATAGTATTTCTTTAACCCAGGGGGGCGGCATATTAAAGGGCTAAAATTAAACAGGCACCCTGAGGCGCAATGTCGCCCCTGGTCTTAAGAAACAGTCAGACCCGAGATGACCTTAGGGCCAAATTTACTTAGGGGACCTTTTCAGGGCAAGGCGGGTCTGCGGGGGTGGGGTGGGGTGGGAGAATCTGCATCCAGGACCGAAGGATAGCCAACTTAGAACAAACACACACACACACAGGCCCGTGACACCTGCCTACAAATCTTTCGGGTCTAGAGGCCAAAAATAAGCCGCGGAAGAAGCGCTCCGGCTTTTGGGAGTGGATTCTGGGAGCCTAATAAGCAGTGGGGGGTTGGGGGGAGTCCGGCGCTGCTGCAGGGGCTCTCGCGCGGGAGACCGGCTAGGACTCCGCCTTTGGGAGCCTCGGCGCGAATCCCGTCTCCACGCTGGGCCCTCTCTCTGGCCCGGGATTGGAAGCCAAGACTTAGTCTGGGGTGCGGCTGGAACAAGTTGGCTCCGCCGTGCCAGTACTTTCCCTCCGGCCGGAGGGTGCCACCCCTACCGCAGGCCCAGGCGGTCCTTTCCTTCCCAAAGGCGCGCTCGCCGGAGCCACCCGCAGGGACGGATTCTTCACGCCCAGGGGTGCCCATGAGCCCCGAGGGTCGGCGCACCTCGGCTCTGGGAGGTCAGTAGCCTAGAGGCTTTGGAATCTGTAGTCAAAGGCCATTTGCTCCCCAGGCAGCGCCTTCCTCTCCACCGGCCTGGCGCCCAGAGGAGGGCGGCCTCCGCGCCCTCCGTGGGGTGGCAGCCCGGAGTGGGCACCCTGCTGTCGCGCCGCGTCGGGACGCAGAGCGCAGGCACGCCCGTCTTGGTAGCGGTATCGGTCCTGTTCGGAGCTCAACTTTCCCTCCCACTCAGTAGAGTACAGGGAGCCCAAGAGTTACCGATGGCAGGCTTAGACAGACCCCCGCCCCCTCGCCCGCCGGAAGACGACGCGGCGGCGTCCTTGGGCAGCCAGCGCCCGGGAAAGGGTGCCCCCTCCGGACCGCGGCGGCCTCGCAGCGTCTGACTCGCTGCCAACAAGACTTCGGGGTCCCGGGGGAGCCTAGCTCTCAGCTTCATCGGGAACCAGGACGAAGGAGCGTCGGAAGCTCTCCTCTGTCGCCCTCTAGGGAGCCAGCCTGCGCGCGCACCAGCCCGGGACCCACGCCTCCGGCCCGCACCCGAGCCTCGGGACGCCAGACTGGAGGCGACCAGGCGTTTACGAGGACGGCAACGCCCCAACAGCGCGACACCTCCTAGGAGGCGCGAGGTCGGCTGCCTCTGGAAACGCTACTCGTGTCCCCAGGCAGAGGCCGCCGCCGGCCGGGAAGGCGGCCTGGAGGCTGGAGTGGGATGGGGCCTGGCGCGCGGCTCCTTGCAGCCCCGGGGGCAAGTGGAGGCCCCCGAGCGCCCGCGCCCTACGGTGCGTCCTGACTTCGGAGCGACTTGAGGCCGGGAAGAATCGCTGCGAAGTGTGGTCGCCGCGGAGCGCGGGGCGGAGAGGGCCCGGGCCGCAGCCAGTGTGGGGGGAGGGGGCACATTCCCGTGCGCCACGCTGCACCCCACGCCCTCCTTACGAGCTAGTCACGCAGACTAGCACCTGCGTCAGGAACCACCCAGAAAGAGCTAAAGCCATGGGGGCGCCAGGCGCCAGCCCCCAACCAACCTACAATAACAGTAATAATAGTAATAGGAGGGAGGTTAAAAAGGAGGAGCTGATTCCAAGGGCTCAATGGAAAGGAAACATCTAGAAAAGAACGATGGAATATGTGTACGAATATGTCGCATCCAATTGATGTATGGTTTGTAACAAGAGCTGGAAGAGCCCCCAATAAAATGATTTTTTAAGTTGATCTATCATATTAAAAATGGCATTTTAAATTAAAAAAAATAGTAATAATAAAGCATTATTATAATGGTGAGGGGAGACGACTCTACCGACAACACCAGCTCTAGTGACTGCTGCTTCTCGGGGTCGAGTACTGGACGTGAAGGGGCCTCATTCTTAAATTCTTCCTCGCAAATGCCTGCGTTTTCCAACTAGGCAAAGAGGCGCTGAACGGAGGACGGCCCGTGGGTCCCCAAGCTCGCGAGCGAGGCCAGGCCTCGGCTCGACCTCCGCCCGTGATCTACTCCAAGGGCTCGTCCAGGGCAGACCGGCCGCGGTTTTGTGGACAATTTTGCCGCCGTCCGCCCCATTTCACAGAGCGCGAAGGCGCAGTTTTAGCCCGTCTACTACCGCGGAGCCACAGAGTCGCCTAGCACAAAACGCCACTTACCTAGTGGCCCGGGGGAGGGGGGCGTTAGGGACTTGCCTGGCTTTCCTTTCCGTGCCCGGAGGACCCTCGCTCGCCAGAGGCGACTCTTGGTGCCTGATACCTC